GTCGCCCCAGGCCTTTTTCTATTTTATTGAGAGACAGGGTCTCCCTGAGTTGGTGAGGCTGGCCTCCACTTTGCGATCCTCCTGCCTCAGCCTCCTGAGCCACTAAGATGATAGGCTGTTTTTGATCCCCGCCCCCCCCCCAAGAACTTCGTATTTTTGAGGGTGGCAGTACCATGTCGATCTGCTGGCAATAGTTCACAAGGGTTCTTCCACATGTCACCCCAGCCACCTGGTCTAAGGTCCCTGTATCCATCTCTCTGTTCCCAGGGGCTCTGGCATGGTCACATGTGGTCCTGGGTCAACTCAGCCTCCCCCAGGACTCTCCAGTCCTCCCCTGGAGCCCTGAGGGACGCCTCACCAGGTGGTGCTTGGCCGCCTCGCGGATCCAGCGGACATTGTCCATATATTGTAGTTTCACAGACTCCGTGGTTGCTGCAGAGAGGAAGTGGGGTGTCGTGGGCAGAGGGCGCCCCTGCCGGAGTCCTGGGCCCTCCTGGTCCAGGCTGCTTGCTACAGATGCCTGCTCTGACCCTGTCCCCAAATCCAGGAGTCGGGGCCAACCGTACCCTGGAACCTCCAACATGGTAAACCTTTTTTGTCTATCACGCTGATTTTCTCAGGCCTTTTGTCACAGTACTGCAGAGCTAACCCATGCACTGGCTTCCTGTTAATTGCACCCGGAGGATCCTGACCCGCCCAGGAGAGGACATCTCCAGGGGACAGTGTGCACATAGGGCCCACCTCCCCTACACCCCCCCCCCCAGGACATTACCTCCCTCAGCGATGGCCTTCTCCAGGACAGATGTGGCTAGCTGGTCTGTGACAGCTAGGTCCTCGGGGTCCCCAGATGTGCAGACCCAGCGGAAAGGCCCGAATCCCTGGGAAAATATGTCCCTGTAGGGACAAATGTCTCTTCAATGGGGGTTTCCCATGCTGATGGCTCCTCCGGCCAGGGCCAGGGGTGTGGCCCCGGGAGGACATGCCAACCAGAGGGACCAGAACAAGAACAAGCAGAATTCGTCTCAAAAGGCCATCAGAGATTTTGGTCCAAAAAATTCCACCTGGTTTTTGTTTTTGGTAAAATGACGGGAAAACCCATCACCAGGTGCGTGAGCTGAGCAAGGAGCCCACGTGGACTCCGGTGCTTGCCAGGCTGGGTGGGGACACCTTCCCTGGGGGCTGTCCCCCTGCGTCCCTCCCCAGGCTGAGCCCAGCTCCGTGCTGAACTCGAGAAAGTGACCTTCACCTTTCTGTTTAAAAGAATATTTTCTAGCCGGACAGGGTGACCCACATCTGTCATCCCAGTGCCTCGGGAGGCTGAGGCAGGAGGATCTCGAATTGGAGGCCGGCCTCAGAAGTCTGTGACAAGGGCAAGGACTGGGGACTCCGTGCGGTGCTCAGCCCTGGGAGAAGACTCCGCCGGGATGCCCGGGGGCTGCCTGTGGCCTTGTGGTGACCTCTCTCCAGGGCCACAAATTCCCACATTTGTCCCCAACAGCACCCCAGAGGCCCACCTAGGGGCTCAGAGGAAGGGACCTCAGGGTCCTGCCCCTTGGTGCCCACCTGTCTCCTCACCAGCTCCTGACAGAGTCTCTTGGGGCTTGGTCCCTTGTCATCGTGGGGACCCTGTGACCCGGTACCTGGCTGCTTTGGGGCTGTGTGAGGGTCTCAGAGCACATGACCTTGAGGGTGGTCGGTTGGACCCAAACGCCACATCCCAGGCCCCTTGAAAGGGACCGGGGTGGCACTGGGGCACCCTGGAACTGGTGGCCACCCCGTCACTTACCCCATAATGTGCTGGACGTAGGAGGGATAGCGGAATTCCGTCTTATTGGCCCCTTTCTTCTCCACATCCGCTCCTAAAGGACAGAATGCCCGTCCCCGGGGTGAGCACCCACATGGCCACCACATGGTGAC